TCTAGTAGTAAACTTCGCATCGAGCTTTAGTAATTCCCCGAGTCACCAATGCAGAATATTTAGTCTGCGCCCAGCAACCTCTTCTCCATATAAAACTAAAATGATCGTAACCTGCAATACCCTACGAGCCGAGCTGGCTGAAGGAAACATCGAAATTTGTAACGTCGGGACATGTCAAGATGTAAAATAAACAATCGGAGGCTACTAGATCTGAGCCTGTAACCTTCACACAAAAAGGGAAGGGCGTCTGCGCCGAACCTCAGCTCAGCTCGAGAAGAGGCTTTCTAAAACAACCATCCCCACCAAGACGGTTTGTTCGTCGACTCCGGCGTGGAATAGTCACCACATCGATCAGCGGAGCGAACGTGGAGGCGCTGATAGCCGTTGTCATTGCGGCCAGACTCGCCGCTCAGGCGGCCACGAGTACCAGGAGCATCCGTCTGAGGTTGGTAGGGGCTGACCTCCGGCGCTTCGGTACTCGGGTAGTGTTGTCTCATCGGCGCCTCGCTACTCGAGTGGTTTTCGTTGGCCGGGGCCTCAGTAGTCGGGTAGTCTCCCCTAACTGGCGCCTCGGTACTCGGTGGCCGGGTAGTCCTCGGTCGCTGGCGCCTCAGTGCTGGGGTAGTGTTGCTTGACCGGAGCCTCGGTGGTCGGGTAGTGCTCGTTGGCCGGGGCCTCGGTGGTGGGGTAGTCTTGGTTCTCTGGGCTTCGGTACTTGGGTAGTTCTCGTTCACCGGCGCCTCAGTACTCGGGTAGTTCTCGGTAGCCGGGGCCTCGGTGGTGGTGTATTCCTCGACCTCTGGAGCCTCGGTCGTGGCTGTAGCCTTCGTGCTAGGGTGGTAGGGATCGTCACGATTTTGTCGACTGGTTTCCGGCTCCTGGGTGGTGGGTTCGTAACCTGGCGCTTCGGCTGCCGGCTTGCGGAGACCAAGATGAGAACTCTTTCTGGGAGTCGAGGAAGAAGTCGCAGCACATGGCGTTCTGCCCGACACCGAAGCAAAGCGTAGCCCAAAACCGCTCGGTTTGCGATCAACGTTAGCCTTGGGATGCATAACGCGTTCTGGCGAGCCCGCCGGCCCATCGTACACAGCCTACACGTGTCAAGAGCCTATATGTCCACTGAGCCACCTCCAACTTGGCTTCCGTGGAGTGTTTGCGGTCACAGCGTAGGCTAAAACGACTGGTGGATAGTTAGTTGGGTTTGGTCTGCGACAGCCAAATGGCTCTTGGCAAATCAGTGACCTACGCCCACGCATCCTTCTCGTGCGTGCGTCGTCGGTATCGTTAAAGTGCCGACACATATGTTTTTCTACTTATCCACTGTATGTGGTCCAATCAAATGGCGATAAGCGATTATTGTCGAATGAGGAGGCCGATGGATAGCTTTTTATCCAATCGTCAACGTTAGGGGTAGGTTAATGAGCCGCCGACACTCCTGCCAACGTATACACCTTTTCCAGGCATAATTCGCGGTGTGCAAATACAGTTCGGCAAGAGCAAAAACAAATTCGTGAAGTGCAAATCGAAATTCATCAAAGCCTCCATGAATGAATCATGGAAGGCGACTCTTCAAATATTTATTTTCAGCAGACATAGACTGATGAGCTGGTCGGTCGTAGACCAGGGCCCCTCTGGCTGGATAATCACGAGCTGTAACGGGACTACCGAGAGTGTACATGTACTACAGACGATGGAGAACCTGTTGTGCCAATTCCATCAGCACCCTTATTATGCAGATGTAGCGCACGAAGCTCACAGCCATAATGTTATTTTTAATCCTATAATGAAAACAATAATGTTTTGGAGAGAATAATATATGATAGTTTATCGCTATTATGGAGGTTTTGATGAATTTCGATTTGCACTTCACGAATTTGTTTTTGCTCTTGCCGAACTGTATTTGCACACCGCGAATTACGCCTGGAAAAGGTGTAATGTCGGCAGGGCTGTGGAGATACGTTATACACCTATAGTGAGGTTAAGTAATTAGGCGATTATACACATATTTTGCTTGCTGCCGACACCTCACATTGAGTTTGTATTGCGTATGTTTGCTGTTGGAAGCATTTTGTATGACACCTTCACTTACGTCATAAATTCAATCGAATTTTCTCGGCGGCGCCTTACCCGCATGCGTGCATGACACAAAGCGCCTTCAGGTAAGGCGTTGCTCATGGGACTTTTGTCGCTGCTGCTGAGGTGTCGCCAGCGAGACATGCAAGTGACTCTACAGAAGATATATCAAAACGGAGCGTGAACTAGCGAATATCAAATATTTAATCTTTTCAATATTAAATGAAAATAAATACAGTGCCTATGTTGTGCACTGACCACCGCAGCACCAGGTAGAAAGCGCCGCTCCACCAGTAAGTGCGGTTTGGCCACGTCCTCCACCCCCTCCCTGTTCGACAGCAGCGAGAGTCCCCCTCGCCGCCCAGGGATCAATGCTCGCAGCCGTCTGTGTCAACGAGGGCAGACGCCGCGCTGCTGCTGCTACTGCTGCTGGTGCTGCTGGTTGGCGAGGCGGTACTGGGGTGAGGGAGGCTACTGCGGGTCCCTGGGCTGGCTCGGCAGTGCCGCGTAGTGCTGGTGTGTCTGCCGCCTCCTGCTCTAACCTCCGCTCCTTCTCCATCTTGGACCCTTCCTCTTCATCTTGTCTCCTTTCACGCGCGCGTCGTCCAGCAGGGGCGAGTGGACACCGTGTGAGCGACCACCAGGCGCAGACTACTCGTTGAGCGTCCTTGCTCCCTCTCCTCGCTCTCGCCCTCCACGCACTTGGTGTCGCCGTCGCGCTCTTGTTCTCCCCACCACCCTTCACGCACTTGGCGCCTCCGCCGTACGTCGTGCCCATGGTCCATCCGCCGTTCTTCGTGCCCTCGGTAAGCCCGCCGTGCTTGGTGCCCTTGGTCAACCTGCCGTCCTTCGTGCCTTTGGGCACTGCCGCCCATCGTGCCGTGGGTCTCCCCGCCGTCATTCGCGATCTTGCCCCCCCCCCTCCCCCCCGGCTCTTTCCGTCCCTTGCCCTTCGTCTTGGGCGTCATTGGGCTCCTTGCTCCTCGACGGGGCCCAAGGGCACACGCCCTCACACTTGGAGGGGCTGTACAGATCTCCCAGCCGTCTTGAACGTCTTGCCCATGCCTGCGCACACCAGCATGCCACGCACGCAAAGCCGGGAGGGGAGAGGGCTAGCGCAGGTCACAGCGCCGCTACTGCGCTCAGGGGCGCCGCCAATGACCACCACACCCAAACGAAAATGAGAGAAGTGAAATGCAGCAGCCGTTTTGACCAATCATACAATTTCAGTATTTCCACCAATGATTGGTCGTGTCGGCAGGTGTAGGCCGCTGTCGGCACCGTCACGCTATGGATTTCTGGTGGCGTTGGGGTCGCTATAGCAACGACCGATTCTGTCAAACACACCGAGCGCACGTACGGGGATTTAAAAGTGTGCGAAAGCCAAGGGTTACCATTTGGCCGTGCTGGGCATTGAACCGACGACCTCCACGTTAGCACGTCAGCGTCTAACCACTAGGCCAAATCGCTTAAAACATTTACGCAGCATCATACCGAAATAAACGGATCCAGTGCGACACAGTGTCAATTAATATAGCCGAGCCCAGCTGTCTCGATACGCAATTTCTATTGCCTTAGACGCCTAATCTAATAATGGTGTATAAAATGGTCTTGCTAGTGGAAAACTGGTACAAGGCCGCTCCGAAACATTCACTCCCATATGATATGAAGTGGTACCTTCCGGCTGAAGCCGCACTCCCAACGTCTTCCGTGTGAGCAGGTGTTGCATCGATGGACGTGCCCAAAAGGCGTCGGGGGACATCCAGAAGCTGCCCAATATGCTGCGCGAGTTATTCCATGTGTACTACGATCGCACTAAGCGCGAACCTGATCACGTGGTCTATTACCGCGACAAGTGTAGGCGAAGACCAGTACTCTGACATCCTGTAGGCTGAGGATCGCGCTCTCCGCAAGGCGTTTAAGATGATCGCTAACTTCTACAGCCCGTTGATCACGGTCATTGTGGCAAATAAGCGCCAATACACACGCGCCGCCCCCCATGGATCGCCGCGACGAAGACCGCAAGGACGACGTGGGACCAGGAAGGAGATTGTTTTATCAACCGCGGGACAGGCCTACTTTTGGATCAACTTTTAAGCGACAAATTAAGCTAATTCCTGACAGATTATATAACTCGTAGGTCAAGTTTGATCCAAAAGTTGATCCTTCTCGTAGTGTCGTTGCCTTCATAAACTTATGTTATACTTTTAAAATTTATATTTTTACTGAACACCATTTTGGAAAAATGCCGCGCCGCTCCAAGACCTGCCCCAAGTGCAAGAAGCGTTTCGCCACTCATGGCAACATGAAGCGCCACCAGAAGAAGGTGTTTGCGTGTGGCAAGCAGTTTGTTAAGCAACGCGAGGAGCTAACTAAACAAAAGAAAGCCTACCGTAACCGATACGACTATCTCAAGCGCCTCGGCCGTCTGCACGAGTATCAAGGCCCCCTCCGACCATTCGACGGCCCTCCACCAGCCCAGACGCTGCCCCCACGACGGTCGACACGTCGCTCGACCACGGCCGTCGAATCGTCGGGTACTGTCCCGTCAATTATCGGCCCATCATTGTCCATGTTCAACTACTACATGGACGGGCGCGCAGTTGACAAATTCTATGATTAGGAATGCAGGTTTCTAATCTGGCAGAATTAGAAATTCGTTTCTAATCACAATAAATACATTTCCGCTAACATTTTCAACCAAACAGATGCTGAACTGAGCCAGTAACGTGCTGAGTATTACGAAAAAAACGAACTAACAAGCATAGACCGTCCTCAAATCTGCCCAGCCTACCCACCCACAGGCAGGCAAATACTGCATCGGCACAATGCTCTCTTCTTCAGATGCCAATGCGCAAGGGCTCTGCCATGAGGTTATTCCTTCCATCGACCATCAACCCTTTTGTTGACTATTGTTGATTCGCGGCCCGGAACATACAAATCTGGAACCTCAAGAAATGGGATAACGGATTATTTTTTCTTAGATTCCCAATTCAATTTTATATTTTATTTTCCGAGCCCTCAACTTGAGGTCAAGTTCAATGAGCGGCAATATCTTTGAAATCGCCTCCGACTGAACTTGACCCGCGAAGCACAACCAAAATCACGCCCAAAGGCGAAAGCATGCGTACGATTCTTCTGATAAATGGCCACCAGGCGCGCTTTGGGCTTGTAAGTTTTTATAAGCAATGCTGACCCTAAGGCTTATACTAATTTAGCATTCCTACTCTGTAGTCCACCTTAGAGAGCATGATTATACTACGACTGGAGCTCTCAAGCCTTGCTGACATTCCTGTTGAAGGCCAGTTTGAAGGTACGACCCGCATCGATTCTAGCTGCCTGTGACATCTATTCTAACTAAGCAGCGCAGAGATGCACTATTTCGGAGTTGGCAGTGATAGTACTCTTCGCCAAAT